GATCTGGCCATTGCATCTTTTATAGTAGAGGGGTGTGCTTGCTTCACTTGTATCTTCAGTTGTAGACTGTCCAAGGCGTCTACAAACTAATCCCTCAACAATAGCTTGAGGACATCGGGTGGTGCAGTTGGGTAGGCCTTGTGTGCCATACTTTCCAAATCCTGTGCCAGCTCTTGCAGGTTCTCTCCTTTGCCACGGACTCTAGTCCTAAACCTAGCCCTGTAGACTTCGGACTGATTTTGAGTTCCATACCTGATTTCTAGAGCAACTACCGGTGCTCTATAGTTGTGCCTGTTGTCTGCTGGTTGTCCCTTCAAGCTCATTGCCAGGTACACTGCTTTCTGTTTCTCTGTCCATCCATTCATTTCTGTCAGGAGCTCAAATTGTGCTCTCTATGCTTCCCATGGTGCCTTCCCATCGAATTCCTGTGGCTTTCTTCGTACTAGATCACCTCTATTGCCGACCTCATGTCTGGAATGTGACTTCTGACAGTACTGAAGATGTCTGCATTAGGGTTTAGCTGCGGTATCTGGAAGGGGCTTCCCGTTGTCTGAGGCTGATTAGGTCAATGGGTAATATATCTTCCTCGTGTAAAAGACAGTAAATCATCCTTTAATGTATTCAATTCACTTTGAAATTTACTAATGTTTTCCATTTGTACTTCTTGCCACTGTTGTTGACTTTCCTGTAGTTGCTGCTGACTTTCCCGCAACTGTTGGAGACTTTCTTCCTGTTTTCTTTCTTGTTCCAGTTGCCACTGCTATAGTCTCTCTTCTTGTTTATTTTCTTTCTCCTCCAACCACTGCTGTAATCTCTCTTCATGTTTATTTTCTAGTTCTTCTTGTTTCTTTTGCCGTTCTTGTATTGCTACCATCAAATCTGCTAAGCTGTAGTTTGATTTGTCGCTTCTCGTTTCCATCTTCTTTTTTTTGTCACACTCTCTGACACCAATTTGTTACGTCTCTGGTCATTAGTTAATTACTCGTAAAAATTCTTTCCGAAGAACTTCAGCGATACAAGTCCTTTCTCAAATAAAACTAGTTTATTATTTCTCAATTCAACTTTGCAATACACTTAATTTCCACAGTCCCTTTAACTTAAACACACGCTATAATCCTTAACGAACGATTCACGCACTTTACTTCCTACCGCGCTTGACTCAATTGTCCGTCTATATCTTCAATCTCTCTCTCTGCTGTTCAATTGTTACCGTCACTTTATTTTCCGGTTTATATACTTATAAGAGCGCCATTCTAGCAACCGCTAGGACGTTTGACAAGTTCCTCGATCTTTCTAGATACTCATTACGTGTTACCAGCGTCACGTAACAATATATAACCTTTTTAATAGATTACTAATTTTTTTCTTTTAAAGTATAAAAAAGGTGTTTCTTGACAGATAAAACACACTATTATTTGCAAAATAAAACCCATTTGTTGTAAAATATGATGCTGTTTTATTTTTTCGAAAATAAAAGCTATAAATTAACATTTGGTAAACAAGATAATGAGAGTGTATACTGGACTGTGGTTGTTAAACTCACACTATATTTTTAAACTATGATACACTTTACGTAAAGAGTAAGGTATTTAAAAACAAGCCTTTGTTACGGAAATGGTTCTTCTTTCAAAGCTTTTGAATAATAAAATAAGAATGTTTGAAGGATTAATGAATTTGACAAAAATTTGCTCCACTTTTTGTCTTCCTACACGATTTCATGTTAGGAAACTAAGTTAATCTTTCAGTGCTTGTAAATGACAATTTTTTAACTTTTACCTTACTGTGACAACCAGGAGAACAACGCTGTTTTAAAACGTACTGTATAGTGAAACCATCAGAATTTCAACACTGTTTTAAAACGCACTGTATAGTGAAACCATCAGAAGTTCAACACTGTTTTAAAAAGTACCGTAATTTGAGACCATTAGGAGTACAACACTATTTTAAAATGTACTGTGTACTGAGACAACCAGGAGTACAAAACGTCTTTAAAACATACTGTACAGTGAGACCACTAGGAGTACAACACTGTTTTAAAGTGTACTATGTTCGGAGACCACAAGGAGTACAACACTGTTTTAAAACTACTGCGGACTGAGACAACCAGGAGCACAACATTGTTTCAAAATGCGATCACCAGGAGTGCAATCATGGATATCGGCACATTTGAATTACGTAAACTGATAATAAAAAAGGAGTAAGATATTATTTTCAAATAAGAATCGTAAGAATAACTATTTTGTTCTTAAAGGAAACATTTTGATAACATTATGATAACATTTGTCGAAACATAACCTGAAGAAAAAATCTAATGTTTTAATCTGTGGCAATATATAATAATAAATTGACGATTCAAATTTCACTTCCCGCAGATATTATATTTCACACAACAGTTTTTTTATATTCTTCCTTTCAATGTTTACATTGATTTAAAATAACTTGTTCTTGAAAAAAAAATACTGTAAAATCACAACGAAATGGTTATTACTTAATAAAATCATAAATATATAAATAGATTTCTTACATATTGGGTTTGTATTCTTAGACAGGTCAGTGGTTGAACATTGTACGAAATTTTGTTGATGGCTTGTCTAGAAATTAATGTTTACAATATATGTTTCTAACAACTAAAACCAACTATTCTATGATGACAATTCAAGAACTGTTTTTGGCAAAAAATGATTTTTTGGACTTATTATTATATTTTTTGTAAGACTCATATTTGAAAGAAAGTTAGCTTTGAATATTCTAGATATGTAAATCATAATAAGTTCTTCTATTTTTCTTCTCGTCTTGTTCATACATTTTCAACAGGTTATACTATTATATGTTCTTTATTATAACTCTAACTGTAGTGTTTTTCATGTTCAAGTCTGGTCCTGGAGTTACTTTTCTCTTATCGATTTTACGTGTAAAACGTTTGGTATGAATTATTATGATATAATAATACTACCATTTCACTGATTCTTGACGGATTTAAACAGATAATTGTAAGTCTGTGATAGTATTTTATGCTTTGGTCTTTGTACCTATCATAG